ACGAGAACGACACCATAGCCAAGTACGAGATCATGGATGGGGCACCTGTGAGAGGTGAGAGGGCACAGGAACCCCCAGCATTCCTCTTCTGGAGGCTTTTGGAGTGGGAATATAACTCTTGCAGTATTCCTCTGTGTGCTCAGCATCCTGTTCCGCTGGTGGGCTCAGAGCAAGGGATTGACCTGATCCCCTTCCTTCTCCAGTGTGATGAGGGGAACTGAGGCAGAATGAGTTGCAATGACTTAATTCTTTTGATGAAGCGGTGGCAAAACCAGCTATAAATTCACAGTTGGCATGGGCCACCAGCTGGCATTGCTGCAGCTCAGAGTAGAGATGGTATTTCTGCTCTGTGCCAATCTCCTGTGCCACTGTTCCTTTGCCCGGCAGAGTCACCTGCCAGAGAAAATGTCACCTTACTCATTTTTTCCTGCAGTGCTGTCTTGATGCAGGTCCCAAAAGAGTCCTGTGCTGTTAGAGTGGAGCTGGAATAGCTGTCAGCAAGGGCAGGAGCTGGCTGTGGACCGTGCATGCTGGTTTCTGAAGGGAGTTGAGGCCTTCTAGCTCATGTTAGTCCACTTGTGGAAACGGTGACAAAGGTTGTGGCCGTGTGAGTTTGTGTTTTGCTGCTGCTCTCCTGGTTTTTGTCTGCATCCTGTCTGTGCTGAGAGCTCTGTGCCCTTTCCAGGGGAGTCCATTCCCATCAGGCTCTTTCTGGCTGGCTATGAGCTGACTCCAACCATGAGGGACATCAACAAGAAGTTCTCTGTGCGTTATTACCTCAATCTGGTGCTGATCGATGAGGAGGAGAGACGCTACTTCAAACAGCAGGTGAGAAACAGAGCTGCTGTTCTCCTTGGACCTGTGGATGATTGATTGGGATGCTTTTACAAGGACCTACAGGGAGTTTGGGATTCATCACGTGGAAGGATGATCTAGAAGAATGTCCATACAGGTCAGATGTGTGTGGTGGTGGGGAGGAGTCTCGAAAGTGCCTGCCTGGGATTTCTTTTCTGCTCAGTGGTGGAGCTTCTGTGCTTCACCTTCTCAGTGGCACTAGGACAGAGGTGGCTGTGGATGTCCTCTGTGTGCCCAGACCCCAGGGAGGAGCTCTCTGCCCAAATTTTGGGCAGGCTGCACTGTCAGGTGCGTCCTGGCTGTGGGTGGAACAGCGAGCCTGGTTCAGCCTGCAGAGCTGGGTGGGGCAGCAGAAGGTGTCAGCAGAAGGTCTCACGAGCCCTGACAAGCCTTGGCTGTGTCCCTGCAGGAGGTGGTGCTGTGGAGGAAAGGGGACATCGTGAGGAAGAGCATGTCCCACCAAGCTGCCATCGCGTCCCAGCGCTTCGAGGGGACATCCTCGCACGGCGAGGCCAAGCCCCCCGGGCAGCCCGCGGAGAACAACGGGCAGCAGTGAGGCCGGGGGGCCGCCGGGAGCCCCCAGGACAGCGGCACCGAGGAGGAGACGCTCAGAGACTTCACAGAAATAAATACCCGTTTTTGACTTAATTCCTTTCTTCAAAGGACTGGCGCGGTGGGACGGGGCGGGAGGGCTCGGAGAGCTGCGGCGCCGGAGGTTCCGCGGCGCTTCCCGACCCACACGTTCCTCTGGAGGCTGGGGCCGGCTGCTTTGAGGCAATGTCCGGAGGCTGCGGAGCTGCCTGATCTCCTCTGTGCCCCGAGAGCCTCGGCCTGGCGGTGGGGAAGGAGAGAGCAAGTGAAGGCCCAGTCTGCCGCTTCTCCCCGGCCACGTGCAGGTTGCTTTGGGGCTGTGTAGGGTGGATGTTTTTCTTGCCTTTCCAAAAATCTTCCCTGGGGAAAAGGGCCCGGTGGTTAGCTGGATGCTGGAGGAGGGACCAGACTGGCGTGGCCTACTGGAAATCTTGTGGTGTCATCTCCTCGCTGCTTCCCCTTCTTCCTCTTCGTGCTGGCGTTGGATTCCTTGCCACGAGCGGTTGGATGACGGAGGTGGCTCAGGCCTGGCACTGCCACCCGGCCACGTGGAGCACGGGCAGGGCCGTGCTGTGTCCCACCAGGAGCTGTGGCTGTAGAGGGAGTGAGATGTGTGGATACAGGAGGAGGTGGCACGGGGTGGGCAGAGCAGTGACGGTCCCAGCGCTGCTGGCTGGGCAGCGAGCGGGGGCAGGACGGCTCCTGGCCGTGAGCTGTGCCTTCCTGGTCTTGTCCTGGCAGCTGTTCCCGAGATCCACACTGGCTGCTGCTCTCGTGCAGCTCCCGGGTGTGCTGCAGAGAGGTGTAGGGAGCAGTTCTGGAGCTCTTGGGGGCTGTCCTGTGGGTGGGTTTGTGCTGCACACGCTGCCCTGCCCGTGTCTGTGTCCTTGGGACAGAGCAGGCTTTGTGTAGGGACGGACAGCAGTGTGGGGACAGGTGTGTGGGGTCTGGTTTGCTGCAGGACAAGGATTAGTGGGGACAGGAGGTGGATGGAGTTGTTGTGGGAGGCTCAAACAGGCCTGTGTGGGCTGCTGGAAGGAGCCAAGCAGCACCAGGAAGGGTGGCAGAGCTCTGATTCCAGACACACATTCCTGAGGCCTGAGCTGAAGTCACCAGCGAGGTCTGAGAGCATGCAGTGAACTGAGAACCTCAACATGGGTTTTCTTTTTTTGAAATAAGCTGCTTTTAGCCTTCAGCTAAGTAGACTCATGAGAACATTCCCAGAAGGAAGTCACTCCTCCATTAAAAATCAGATGTGTCTTTGTAGACTTGACTGAGTATGGAGAATGTCCATCCTGTTCAGCTGCCCTCCCACAAGCAGGTGCTGAGACCTCCTACCCGAGGGAGAGACAAGCCTGCACCGAGTGCTGGGGTATGAGCTGCGTCAAGTGGGGTTTGTCTGGATTTCCCTGAGTTTGTGGCTTGCTAGTTTGTCCAGCTTCTTTCTAGCTCTGGAATCAAGTTCCTCTGTCCCACAGCTGAATGTTGAGCAGGTGTCTTGCAGCTGGGAAATGGAAGTGTCTGCTCTGTTTAGTGGAATGGTGCTGGTGGAGGGAGCGGGGCCGGGGTGGGAAGGGGAGCTTTTTATGTCATGACAGCTACTGTATTTCAGTGATAAATGTGTGTTTCTGCTTGCCAAAGTAAGTTATCTTTTCCTCAGCACGTGTAAGGTTGTGGTTTTTAGTAGAGCTGGCCAGTCTCGCTCTGTAGAGGACACTGATGCTCTCATCTCTGCTGGATGCTTGTGTCACCCCGTGGTTCTGCTGTGCACCACTGCACACGTGGCTTGCTTGTCCCCCCACGGGGGCTCTGTGCCGTGGGCTGGGGCCGTGTCTACCCCAGGCTGGAGCAAAAGCTCGTTGCAGACAACAATCACCTTGCTGTGCCAGGGCTGGGAACCTCTGCCATGGCAAAGGACTCTGGATGTCATTTTGGACACTCCTCCCTCCCTCCCTCCCTCGGGGGAGCTGGCTGTGCTGCAGCCAGGCACAATCCTGTAGGGACAAGTGATGCTCCTTTGGGAGCCCTTGGGGATAGCAATCCATCCTTCTATGGCTGAGCTGAGCACAGCAGCACCCTTACAATCTTCTTAAGCTTTCCTTCAGCTCCTTCCTTGCCTTTATTCCTTTATTCCCTTTATTCCCCTGGATTCTAGGCCATGTAGGAAAGAAACCCCCTGGATGGAAATGTCTTCATTCCAGGAGCGGGTTTTTTTCCTGACTGGATGTGAGATCATTGCCTGGCTGTAAGGAGATGGCTGTTCAGCATCTGCTCATCATTCCTGGAGGGTTCCCTTGGAGAAGGTGCACGAGCCTATATATTGATTTGGGGGATTTTTCCTTCTTTTTCCCTTCTCCCCCGTGTCCCTGTGTGTGGAACCAGAATTCAGAAATGATCCTGATTTTTGCTGAATCTGATGGACCATTCAACCTGTTAGCCACTGGGCCCTGTTTGTCTTGGGTGGAGCAGATGTGCTGAGCATCCTTAGAGAGAAGCTGGGGTCACTGCAGGACAAGGTACTCTAGAACAGTGTTTTGTTAGCATGTGAGGGGGCAGATGCTGCTGGAGCACTCGTGTCCCCCTGAGCTGGTGGTTCTGTGCTGTGCTTGGGTCATTTCCTCTCTCCCAGGCAGAGAGGAGTGGGCAAGTACCAAACCAAGCAGTGCAACTTGTAATTAAGCCTCTGCTGTGTTTACATGTTTCTTAATTCGTCGTCTTTTCAATGGCTGTATTTTAAAACTTGGGTTTTTTTGTCTCTCCAATTAAAAAGAGCCAGCCCTGGCTGTCAAATGCTGTGCATGAGTTTGTCTGATGTTTTATATTGGGTTGGGCTGGTTTTTTTTCTGTGGTATGAAGGGATTTTTCTTTAGAAGTGCCACAGTGTGCAGCTCTCCAAACATGCTGGAGGAGTTTGTCCTTTGTTATCTGTACAAATCCTTGGTCTTTCTTTAAGCTGTCACTGCTTGGCAGCTGTGCTGGTGGAGGACCCATGTGGCTTAAAAATTAGCAGGCTGGCTTTATTTTCTTCCATTTTCCTGATGTCAGAACTAAAATAACGTGGGAACTTCTGTACCTGCAGGAAGCTCACTGTGATCTGCTTTGTGTATCCATCTCCAGAGACTCTGTTTACAACAGCATGCAGTGACAGGATGAGGGGGAACAGCTTCAAACTGACAGAATACTTTAGATGAGATGTTGGGAAGAATTTCTTCCCTGCTGGTGGTGAGGCCCTGACACAGCTGTGGCTGCCACATCCCTGGAAGTGTCCAAGGCCAGGTTGGACAGAGCTTGGAGCAACCTGGGATAGTGGAAGGTGTCCCTGCCCATGGCAGAGGGTGGAACGAGATGATTTTGAGGTCTCTCCCAACCCAGGCTATTCAATGATTGTTAATTTTCTGGTTCTAAACAGAACTCAGGGATTCCTTCCTGCAGAAAAATGTCCCTCTGCAGTACCTGAAGCTGCACTAGACCCCAAACTAAACACAGATGATGTACCTGTTTCTTCCTCAAAAGATAAATTGCAGTTTTTCCTATTAAAACCCAAGTAGCTGAAGTCGATTCCAAAAGGCTTTATTTATTGAAAAAATAAGCAAAAATAACAGCGTGTCAGGGAAGGGACGTGTGGCTGCGGATCTTGTGTGGGCACATTCGTGGTGCTCTGCTTGAGCAGGTGAACTTGAGAGTTGTGCTGGTGGAGGAGGAGGCATCAGCGGGCTGGGTGGGAGCTGTGCTGCTTTAATGTGGCTTTTCCTCTTCCAGGCTCAAGACAAAATCAAATTCCTCTGTGGTAAGGAAGGAAAAACCGTAAGTGAAACTTCCAGTTTGTCTGACAGAGGGAACCAAGAGTCCCAGGAGGTTCTCACCTTGTGTCAGGGGTTGGATGGACAGGCGCTGCCTGCTGAAGAGCATCATGTCCTTGAGGGGCCCCCCATCAGCTTTGTGTGCCAGGTGGTGAGCCTTGATCTCAGACAGGGGGATGAAGCGCTTGGTCATCCTCACAAACTGCACATCCACCTGCCAAGGGAGGGGCAGCACAGTTGGACAAGGACACAGCCTCCAGAGAGCCCATCAAATCTTTGAGGGATAAAGATTTAGGACTGAAGCAAGTGACTGATGTGCACTAACAGCCTGGAAGCTTTCCTTTGCTCAAGGCTAAAAGAACTTGCCAGTATTTCTGGCGGGTGATTTGTTGGCACTGTGCACCAGCAAGGTGCATTCATGTCACAGACAATACAAAATTCAGATGTGGGATGCAGCCAGCACATGAACACTCCCTTCCCTACAATTCAAACTCAAAACTACAGCTTTGTTTGCTGTGCACTGACAGTGGTTCTTAGTTCATTTTCCTAACTCAGGGTTCTGCCATGCGTGGAGGCCAGCTGTGCAGCCAAGATTTGAAAACTTTGGTGATCTTATGGAAGAAATAGGGGAAAAAAAACAGATAAAACAGGATTGAATTTTCTCTTGTGAGAAGAAAAGGCAGCTAGGCCAGGCCAGAAGCTTAAGATTTTCAATACGATGCAAAGAGCCTTCTCCCTTCTCTTGGCTTGCACACAGAGCTTGAACTTAATGCAGTAGCTTGTATTTAATGCAGTAAATTACCATGGACCATTTGGGGTTCTCTTTTCTGCTGGTGGAGTCATAATGAGGATCCTTCTGATCAAACTGTGTGTGATCAGGGTACGCCTCTTTCACGATCTGAAGCAGAAGAGGAGAAGAAAGTTTCCATCAGTTCTAAATACCTGTCAGCAAAGGGCATGAGATGTGACAAGGAATAATCCTGGTGCAAAAATCAGCCTTGCTTTTCCCTCAGCTCCATTCTAACAGGTTCCACATTTCTTGGGTGGAAGAAGTGCAGATCAGTGAGTGATCACCTGCTGGAGATCAGTGTGGAAGGAAATGCAACAATGGGTGGCTGCTGCTGATCTTTGTGATGAGTTCTCTTAAAGAAAAAGCTGTTCTGGGCCTTGGGTTTATTCTACTGCCTTGTGGGCTCTGCTGACTAGAATGGAGTGAGTCAAACTGGAATCAGAGTGTGGAACAACACTTGGCTTGGCTGGGAGTGCCCAGAAACGTCTGCAGGAAAACAGCACAGTGTGGTTCCATCCCTCTGGGGACACATGGCTGAGTCAGCCCTGCAGAGCTGAGGTGTCCTGGGCTCATTCCCTGCTCTCACTGCACTCTTTGGCGCTGAGACACAAGCAATGAGCTGTTTGATACCCCATTCATTATCACTTCTCCCCAAAACACAGGCACTCACCTTGACAAGGGCCACAATGCCAGGCTCTTTGCAGTTACTGTGGTAGAAGAAGGCCTGCTGCCCAAGTTTCATGGATCTCAGGAAATTCCTTGCCTGTCAGTAAACAAGAGACTTTCAGCTCTTCCCATCAAGCTCTCAGGGCTTCATTATAAGCAGCCAAGAACAGGAACCAACACGAGGAGAGGTAGATGTGCTTCAGGATTACTCAGATAATGTTTCCTACTGTTGTCATAGAGATGTTTTTGTGTTGGAATGAAATTAAGTGAAAACAAGGCTAAAGAGCAAGATCCTGTTGGTCAGAAAGTGTGTGGGAATTCAACAGCTCAGCCACCCTTGCCCAGGAGAGCTGTCAGCAAACATCTCAGAGCAGATCACATGTAGGGGGATAGGGAATCCTGTACAGTACAGGGATCATACACACGTGGAATTCCTTTGGAACAGAAAGCTGCATGCTGACAGAGGATTTGGGTAAGTACAGACTTGCTGTAAGGTATCAAAGGTTGCTCTAAGTGAAAGAAAAACTGGATGATTTGACAAAATATTCCTGAATCTACCTCTGACCTAGAGGCCACTGAGCAGGAGTTGACTTAGATCCCTGCCAAACTGCACCTGTATGAACAGGCAGAGTGCCCCAAAAGGAAATGCGTCAGGCACAGGAACAAGCTGTGGGCAGAGCCACCTTCTTCCTACTGCTATTTCAGTGCCCCCATGTGCTTCCTTACCTGGTAGTTCCTCACTCCATCCCAGCAGGTTGTCTGATTAGGCTGAGCTTTCAAGTCATCGACACTGAACTGCCAAATGAAATGAAAATAAAGATTCATTCAGGAGGTTTCTGATCAGTGTCATTGTCTGCACTGAGCCTAAGCATTTGTTGCTAGCAGCTCCTTCAATTATAGCACAAACGTGACACAATTTTTATCTCCCACAGGGCCTGCAGAAAAACCTTTACAAAGCAGCAGTGTAAAGGCAGAGTCTGAAATAGATGCTGCTCCTGTGGCCAACAGCTGAGCATCCTGAGGAACTGATTTCCTCTTGTATTACATGTATGAAACCCCAAGGTTGTCACCTTGGACAAGAACATTTGGTTTTTCTCTTTCCAGGAGGACAAATGGGTTTTGAGAAATAAAAACAATCAGAGTTGCCTGATGCTGTCCCTCAGCATCTGGGCACTAAAGCTGGGCAGGAGTGACCCTGTCCTTTGCTGAGTGAGGGGGTGTCAGTGCTTACCTTCACATCCACCCCCTTCTCCAGCCTGCTCTCAGGTTCTGATTTCAGCAGCCAGTGACAATATGTGATCTTGCTTTCCTCTCCACCAGGCTCAGATTCTTTTTTCTTCCAGTTCTTCCATCCTGACTTGGAGCTCCCAGCTGGATTTTTTGCAGACTTCTCTTCTTCCTCCTTATCTGAAATCTCCTCCTCGGTTTTGGCAATTTTAGCATCAGGCTCTTTTTTATCTTAAAATACATTAAGATAAAACACATTTTGTTTCAAAAAATACTTTGAGTTGTCCAAGCTGGTTTCACACATTTGACTGCAGCAGGAGTTTGGGGCACCCCAGGTGCTCAGTGTAAGGTAGCAGCATTATGCACCAATGATTCTGAGTATTTCTAATTTGCATCTGAAATAAGGATATTTTTGTGTGTGCAATAATGTAGTTTAATATTCCCAGTTAGTAATAAAAAAAACTTGGGATAGAGCATGTTTGCCCAGAGGAAGTGTAGTTGAATTTTTTTAATTAATTGCTGAGAAATTGGCTGCAGGCAATGAAGTAGATTCAGGTGAATCTGGTGAGTAAGAGGAACATTCACAAAGCAAACCAAACTATTTCAATTCCTGCAGGAGACGGAAATCTTAGCTTAACCTCCACTGAACTACCTGTTCAGAAGGGATCCATATCCTTTGTTTCTTTAGGACACAGACATAAAACCCACAAAACAGTTATTAAGAAGTGATTAAAGGGTAAAAAGATTATTTGTGAGAGTGGATCAAGCAGATGAGTGGCACAGATGAGCCAACTGTGCAATTTTTTCATCTTGTACTTTAAGCACCACATCATGATGCCTCCAGTGCAATGTTCTTGCTTTTTGTTTTGGCAGCTGGTACCACATCACCTTCCTGGGTGTGCTCTGACCAACTCTGCTGTGCAGGACCTGAAAGCATAAATGGGCCTGAAATCCATTTCCTAACCCCCTTGTGCTAAGAATACATCACTGTCCTTATCACACACCTAGCAGACTCGTCTCCGTCACGCCTGGGTGCTCAGCCCATTTGGCACAGGAAATGCTGTCTGTAAGACATTGCCTGTGAAAGACAGACGGTTAATTCGGCTGTCTGTAGTTTCACTGTAGCCTGGAACCTCAAATGAGAGATGCTAAATCAGTCAGGATGTCAGCACAGACCTGCTACTGCTCCTTTGTCTCTCTTTTTGCTCGGCCAAGGCATCTCTGGTCTCTCTGAATTATCTTCTCTTCACTGAGAAGCACCTGATGAATGAGAAGAGGAGGAGGAGGAATTACTGCTCCTTCAGGCAGCTGAAAAAAGCAGAGATGGCTGAAGCAGAGCCGCAAGCGCTGTACGGCGAGTGGAGAACAAATAAATCTTTCCTTGAGCTCAGCCACTTCCTCTATCAGTGTGAATGCTGGCAGGGCTTGGGGACCGCACCCTGGAGCCCTGATGGACACGAGCAGCAGGGCTGGATTCCTGCAGCACAGCGGCCCCGGAGCTGCGGGGGCTGAGCGCGGCCCCTCTCCGCCGGGCCAGAGGGAAAGGGAGCCGTGCTTGTGTCCGGAGCTCAGCCCAGCCTCGGCCCGGGGGTCCTGCTCTGCCTGGGCTGCCTGTGCTCCGGGAATTCCTCCGGAATTCCCCCGGGAATGGCTCTTTTCGTGCACAGCGCCAAAGCCACCTGGGCGCGCTCGCCGCAGGTGACCGTGCCTGGCCGGGGGCTGCTCCGGCTGATCCCCACGGTCCCTCCCGGCCCCCCTGCCCCCTCTGTCAGCAGCACTTGCACGGCTCCGAGCCGGCCGCCTCCTGCCAGACCGGCTGGCATCAACTTTTCCACCTTCTATGCCAAGCTTTCCCCTTCCTCCCTCCCTCCTTCGCAGCCCTCCGAGCTCCCGCTCACCAGCCCGGGCCCTGCCGCCTGTCCTGCTCGGCGCGCTGGGGATGCTCGCGGTGCCGGGCAGGGAGGAGGAGGAGGAGGAAGCCGCGCTCGGAAGCGGTGCCCGCTATGCAAAGGCCGGGGCAGGAGCGGCTCCCCTCGCTCTCTCCCCGCCCGGGCGGGCGGCGCCGGGGGCAGGACTACAGCTCCCAGCGTGCCCCGGTGGGAGCCGGCGGCGGGGAGCCGGGAAGCGAGCGGCCCCGCACGGCCATGGCCATGGCGTGGCGAGCGGCCCCGCGGGCGGCGGCGCGGCTGCTGCTGGGGCGCCGGGGGATCGCGTCCTGCATCGACCGTAAGGAGCTGCCCGCGGCCCGGGGGAGGCGGGCTGGGGGCCCCGGACCTCCTGTCCCCGCCCGGAGGGATGTCCCCAGCTGCCCGTGTCACTGCTCGCTGTGGCGCTGCTCTCCGCGTCCCTCCTCCCTGGCTCCTGCCCCCGGGCAGGGCGGTGCGGCCGCCGCCAGCCCGCGGTGGGTGCCTGGCGATGGGACAGAGCCCGAAAGGAAAGGTCCTTCCCGCCCCTTATCCCTCCTTTGTGACACTGTGATCTGCAGTGGGACAGAGCCCGAAAGGAAAGGTCCTTCCCGCCCCTTATCCCTCCTTTGTGACACTGTGATCTGCAGTGGGACAGAGCCCGAAAGGAAAGGTCCTTCCCGCCCCTTATCCCTCCTTTGTGACACTGTGATCTGCAGTGGGACAGAGCCCGAAAGGAAAGGTCCTGCCCTCTCCCTGTCCCTCCTTTTACCTTGTTAGACCGTGCCCAGCAATGGGAAAGAGCCTACAAAAAAAAAGCCCTTCCCTCTCCCTGTCCCTCCCTTACCTTTGTTGGGCTTTCACGCTTTTTCAGATTTAATAGTGAATCAAAGAGTATCTCTCAAAGAAGGGGGATTATAAAAAATAAGGAAAGTGATTTTTTTACATGGGCAGACTGATAAGGCAAGGGAGAATGAATTTAAAGTAAAAGAGGAGAGATTTGGGTTAGATATTAGGAAGAAATTCCTCTGGCAGAATTCCAGCTGGCACAGGTTGCCCAGATGTTGTGGATGCCCCACTCCTGGCAGTGTTCAAGGCCAGGTTGGACAGGGCTTGGTCTTGTAGAAAGTGGTTGGAGGTCCCTTCCAACCCAAACCAGAACACTTTGCAGGTGAATTGTTTCAATGTCTAAATGTAAGAACATTTAGAATTTAAGTAGCAGCACCCCTGTATGAATTTCAGGAGAGGAGCTAACAAAACAATCTTGTATTTATGTGCCATCGAAGCAGAAGGTTTCAAATGCAGAACCCAACTAAATCTTTAGATGCTGTTTCCAAAGGGCTGCTTTATTCTTTGCTTCCCAATCTCCTTTCTTTGAAGTCCCAGGACTGCTCCCTCATGTTTCTGCAGCGCAGACTTAGTGAGATGGAGTGACAGCTGCCATGGGCTGTGCTCCCCTGCCCTGGCTTTCCAATGTAGCTAGCATGGAGCAGAGACAGCTGGGATTTTGGATTTGTTTTGTCCCAAGAAAGCCCCTCCCAACTGCTCTCAGCACAGTTCATGACATTCCTGAGGGACAGAGAAATGTTCTCTGCAGCAGAGCCCCTGAACTGTTTGTGTGAGTTAAGGAGCACTCTGAAACTGGGCTACAAACGAGGTTGGTGTGCTGCTTTCCCTCAGCAGACACGTGTTCTGATCTCTTCCTGCTTTTCTAGCATCCACAGGACTGACTGAGGATCAGAAGGAATTCCAAAAAGTTGCCCTTGATTTTGCTGCCAAGGAGATGGCTCCTTACATGGCCGAGTGGGATGAGAAGGTAGGACAGCCTCACAAGGGTTGTACTGCTCCCTTTTTCCTCCTTTAGGATGTTCTGACCCACAGGTCTGACTGAGGGGTTCCTGCAGTGGCTCTGGAGATTGTCACTGAAGCTGCTGCTGTAGCTGAGGGAGGGGAAATCATCAGAAATACCTTGAAGCTTTCCTAGCCAGGTTATTCAGTCACCTGAGTCTTGGATTCACTGCTGAAGATGGAGTGTGTCTGTGTAGGTACCACCTCTTTGACCCACTCAGTTGACTTAAACTCTGCAGAACGGTGGGACTCAAATTGGTAGCCCAGGGATACCAAAAGAGATTGAACTAACCCTGAATATTCATTGGGATATCCCTGCCTGCCCCAATAGGAAATATTCCCTGTGGAAACGATGCGGAAGGCAGCCCAGCTAGGATTTGGTGGGATCTATGTGAAACCAGATGTTGGTGGCTCTGGATTGTCACGACTTGACACCTCCATAATCTTTGAAGCTCTGTCAACAGGATGCACCAGCACCACTGCTTACATGAGCATCCACAAGTGAGTGTGTCTGGGGAGGTGGATGGTGTCAGCCTGGCTGCTCTGTGGGCTCTGAATCCAGATGGAGGCAGCTCCCTCCCTGCTGCTCATTATTTAAATATTTAAATTGTGACCTCAAGTACACACATCCCTGTGAGGATCCCTGGGTGGCAGTAAACAAGTAGGCCACAAGGACTGAGATGCCACCAAGAAGTAATTTTAGCTTTGTGACATGCAAGATGGGATTGAGTTCTGGATTTTTTTCCCTGCTCTGCCACTTAAGCTGTCTATAGATAGTAACCTGCCTGGAAAAGGCCTTTGTGCCTCGGCATTGCTGTGACAGAGCCCAGAGGCACCACCTGATGCTGGGGCTGTCCTGCTTGTACAGACATGTCCAGTGACAGGTCTCTTGGCACAGAGAGCTGCAATGATGCTGCCAGTTTCTCCAGTGGTGCAATTTCCTGGAAAGGGAGCAGGGCTGAGCATGGAGGGGAGACTGAGGCTCTTAAACAGGAACCTGCTGTTCCATAGGGCAGGGAGTCTGTGGTGAATGGAAGGTGTAACAATGCCCTTTCAGGCCTCAGGGCTTGTGGCTCAACTCCATGGAGCTTTCCTCTGTTCAGCCAGCGATGTTCTTGCACAATCTATGTTCACATCCTGAATTCTGCTCCTTCTCTCCCACCCCAGCATGTGTGTTTGGATGATTGACACCTTTGGCAACGAGGAGCAGCGGCGCAGGTTCTGCCCATCACTCTGTAGCATGGAAAAGTTTGCCTCTTACTGCCTGACTGAGCCAGGTGAGCATCCTCAACTCAGCCAGGACATCTCCTTTCTCTTTAACTGGACATGAACTTTGCAGAGGTCTGGAGGTGAAAAGTTTCTTTCCATATTCATTTGGGAAGTTGGGGAGGGGCAGATGGCGATGGCTGAGATGCTCATGGTACAAACCCAGCTGTCAGGGTATGATCCTGGGGCATTTGTAGGCTCTGGACCTTCTGCTTCACTGGCTGCTCCCTTACCTCTCAAACAGGGAGTGGCAGTGATGCAGCTTCCCTGCTGACCTCAGCTCAGAGGAAAGGGGACACCTACGTCCTGAATGGCTCCAAGGTACCTCCTCATTCCTGCTAAAGCTGCCTGGGTCTCACTGTCCTTCCCATCCCTGCTGTCTCCTCACCTCTGTGCATTCTCCCAGGGCAGGATGTGCTCTGCAGAGCTTTCACCAGTTGGGTCCCTAAATGCCTCTGGCTGTTGGGTCTTCGCCTCTCCATTTCTGCACCCTGCCAGCTGCTGCTGTGGGCTCAGGCTTAGCTTGCAAAACCACCCCAAAGCCCCAGTTTTCTCGTTGTGCCCTCCTGCAGGCCTTCATCAGCGGGGGAGGTGACACCGATGTGTACGTGGTCATGTGTCGCACAGGGGGCCCAGGCCCCAAGGGCATCTCCTGCCTCGTGCTGGAGAAAGGAATGCCAGGGCTCAGCTTTGGCAAGAAGGAGAAGAAGGTAAGAGTTTGGTTTGTGCTTCCTGTGTGCTTGAGGAACGTGCAGGACAGAGATCACAGAACCATAGAATCAAGACCTTCGAGTACAGCCTGTGACTGATCCTCGCTTGTCAGCCAAAACACTGAGTGCCACATCCAGGCATTCCTTAAACCCCTGCAGGGGTGGTGACTCAAACACCTCCCTGGACAGCCCATTCCAATGCCTGACAGCCTTTTTCATGGAGAAATTCCTTCTGATGTCCAGCCTGAGCCTTCCCTGCAGGGCTTGAGGCTGTGTCCTGTGGTCCCAGTGAGCGTGTCTGTGCAAAGCATTAGGGATCTCTTCATGGATGTATGGGAGTCCCAGCCTGGCATGGTTTTACCAAGCCAATTCCAGCTTTGGTGAAGTTTGCCTAATACCCATCCCTTTGGTAAGTGAAGGATTTTAGTCTCAGGAACATCAAGATCACTGGATTTTTGCCTCTTCCCAAAAACAGCCATTCCAGTTTCCACCCTGAGGCCAAACCACGCAGACCACGGGTGCTTTGTGGCAGCTTGGCAGTGAGACCGAGGGGTTGGGAGCAGGCTGGTGGTTCTGTGCTGGCCTTGTGCTGCTCCTCAGGCAGTCTGGAAGGAGCTCTGTTTTTTCCCAGGTAGGCTGGAATTCCCAGCCAACTCGGGCTGTGATCTTCGAGGACTGCGTCGTTCCTGTGGGCAACCGGCTGGGAGCCGAAGGGCAGGGATTCAGCATCGCCATGCAGGGGCTCAATGGAGGCAGGATAAACATCGGTGAGAAAGGCAAAGAGAGCCAGGGGAGGAGGGCAGGAGCTTCTTGTTGCCTGTCTGAAGGAGCTTCACATTCACTGGGTGTCCTTGGCTTCTCCCACCAGCTTCTTGCTCGTTAGGAGCTGCTCACGCCTCAGTTCTTCTGGCTCAGGAGCACCTCACTGTCCGCAAACAGTTCGGGGAACCCCTTGCCAACAACCAGGTAACCCCTGCAGCAGCTCTGCCCTCCAGAGCCGAGCTCTTCCTCATCCTGGAAGGGCCATCCCTCACTTCCCTGGAGAAGTCAAGAACACGCTTTTCCTGAGAAAGGAAGCGTGTCAGGCCTGAGCCCTGCCTGCAGGTGGTGGGGCTGTGGCTGAGACCCCCTGAGGATGCTGATGTCCCTTTTCCTGTGGCTCTGGCAGTACCTGCAGTTCAGGCTGGCAGAGATGGCCACGCGGCTGGTGGCAGCGCGGCTCATGGTGCGCAACGCGGCGCGGGCGCTGCAGGACGGCCGGGAGGACGCGGCCGTGCTCTGCTCCATGGCCAAGCTCTTTGCCACCGACGAGTGCTTCGGGGTAGGTCCCTCAAACACCA